CTGCTGGAGCAAGTGACAGACATCATGAGAGACAACCCCCTCGTTCCGTCATTATGACTGAACAGGAAACTGGGAGCCATGGAGGAGAACACAGGACTGTACGTACCAGCTTATACCCCGCAAATCCTGCTTTGGTAGCCTCCGTGGCTGACACAGCAATGGATACCAGTAGAACCCCCACAAGCAGGAACCCTAGACTTCATTAGAGTTTCTCATTGTCTCATTGGGCTCTACGAAATTAATTACTAGCCACCGCAAGACCTTGATGCTAAAAGCCTAGAAGAGGGAATATAGCACAAGCCCGTGGAGGGATACAGGACTGGGTTGCTTGACCTACATCCCATTCTCTCAAAGCCCCTGGAGAGAGCTGGCGTGGCCCAAGACGGGCGCATGAACATCATCGGCCCAGAACTCGGAAAAGTTGCCTTTTAGGGCAATAATTCCCAGAATCTCTGAGCCGGCTGGTGTAGGTCTAATGAGCCAACTTTTCCAAATGCTGCATCTAATTTCGAACACCATTAAAAAAGAGAGGAAAGGACATGATACCAAAAAAACATAACTACAGAACATGGAGAGAAGGAGAGAAAGAGAACTTGTCTCTCCCAGGACAAATCTTCCACAGGGCATTATCTCAGCATCCAAGGACTCCGTTTCCCCCCGCGAAAGTGGAGGAAGCAACAAGCAGCGAAGAGTCAAACACCGACAGACACATCCAGCGAAGGCAGGAAAGCTTTGGCCCATAAGACACCCTCCTTTGGTCGTTTAGAGTTTGCGGAAAATGAGGCACTTGTTGTTTGCTGGCATGTCCACCTGGGAACAAACACACCGTCGTCATATTGGGATGTTTCACCCACCGAACCATTGGTAGTGATTGACATATGCCGTTAAAACTTTTTTTAAAAAGTTTCGACCACGAAAGCACGAAAGACAGCTTTTTCAGTAAAAAGCAACCACCGCCACCCCAAATTTGTAAGGATTTGAGGGGAGGGGGGGTCAGTTGCAGAGCCTTCTAAGCTATAAGGATGGGCAGGTCTGTACGTTGCCGACCCCCTGGAGGTGAGTTAAAAAAACCAACCACTGGAGAAAATGACTGTCCCTACTCTATAGAAAACAGTCTCCAATGGTGGGAGATCATGGTTGTTTTCTGAACAGGACATGTTGTTGGTTTGGGGCTAGGAAAGATGAGGGCCACCAGATGTTGCTGGGCGACAGCTGCCAGAGGATTTGGCCCATACAGTGAAGAGCAAGAAACACTGGGAGTTGTAATTCCGGATATTCTCTATCCTTGTAAAAGCCGGAGGTGCCAACCGAAGGGGTTATTTTGTTCTGTCCCATCTCTTTTCCCCACCTTTTCCCCTCCTTCTCGGTCACTGTCCAACATACCATCTTCTCCAGTTGCATTCCATTGGCCTCGGCAAGCTGCTGCAACAGAGCCGTGTCCCGGAGGCCCCAGGCTGGATTTCTGAGAATGAGAAGCAGAAAGAATAAGCCTCAAGTTTAGAAAATTGTGTTTCAAAGATGCCTGCTCTGAACGAGAGGTTTGGACTAGATGACCCCCCCAACATGCCTCCCAAGTATTTTTCATAATTTCTACGATATTCTCTTGGTAGAACAATATTATTTAAATGATTCAATAAACAAGAAATTGGGAAGGGAAGGCTCATTGGGAAAAGGCAATAAGGCTGTGAAAAGCTGAAAGCAGCAGGAAAAGAGGAAGGCCAAAGATGAGATGCATTCACTCAATGAAGGAAGCCACAGTCTGGAGTTTACAAAGAGCTGAAAGGGGCTGCTAATGAACTGTGGAGGCAATTAATTCACAGGATTCCCCCTGAGTCAGAAGCAACTTAATGGCACACAACAACAGGAACAACAAATAAAAGATTCCCCGGGTTGTAATATTTCACCAGCTTCCTGGAAGTAGGTAGAAGAGTACAATATACACTACTCTCATTTTCATATTGGGTGGGTGTTTATCTCTCTTACAGCCATATGGACACACACAAACAAACACACTGCACCACACTACACTGCAGCACAGTAGGCTTACCTCTGTCTTAGGCTGTAATCAAAGTCTATGTTGCTCTGGGGGGTGATGCACCCATTCACGGAGTAGGGCTGTTGGAAAGCAAAACCACGTTGGAGAAGATAATACCTGCTTCAGGACTTCAAGT